CAATGCCCTTTTATGGAAGAAAAATGAATCGCCTGCCCAGCAGCGGAGTGCCTCAGAGCTGAGCCGAGATGACAGATGGAAACTTGCCATTTGTTGTGGTTTTGGCAGCAATATAGCGGAGCGTGTTCCCATGCGCACCACTTATTTAAGAAGGGTGCAGCAAACGCACTGAACTGAAGAAGAAAGCTCAAAACTCTGGAGCGAAAAGTTTCACCCATGCATTGCTGAGGAAGAAGATGGCAGTGAACAGTAACAGCTTCAAAACTGTTCTGTTGGAGAAGCAGAAGACAGGCCTCCAGACACGACTGCGTGCAAGCACACAAGTACTGCATTCCCAAACTCCACTAGTAAGACAAGTAGCAAGATTCTCCATACCACATTTCCATTTCCTCCTCATCCCAACAAATTCTACTAAACCACATTCACACAGTCACAGGATGGAAATTTAAACATGGGATTTGGCCTTGAAGTTAGTGCCATCAAAAAGAAATTACAGGGGTTTGCCATAAGCAAACTGCCATCTTCAGCTCTGTTCTCTACTAAAGCAGAGGGACAAGCTATAAGTGACAACTGCATCCAAATAAATACGCCCAAGGAAAAGCATACAAAGAACAGGGATAAGAACTGCTGCACAGAGAACAAGACAGGACCATAGGACCTTCAAAATGTTTGCATTGCTGTCAGGAAGCTGAATGAGACAGCAGACTTCAGCAGCTGGGAAAACATGTTGCAAAAGAAGGAGAATTAAGTAATTCTCCATATGCACATCCTACACTGAGGCATTCTGTTCAAGCTCAATTTCTCCAACCCCGCCTGTGACAACTCTTGATACAGTTTAAGCCGAACACTGCAAAACATTTGGTGTTTGGGAAGGGCAGCTCTGGGCAACAACAGCCCAGCCTCTAGCATGGCACCGTGGCATGCGTTGGATGACATCCTTGGAAGGATTATGTCATCCTAAACACATCCTCTGCTGCTGCTGGGTATTTGATTATGCAAACATTTCCTTTGCACCCTATAAAACACTTGTAACTGGATCATAGGTGGCTTGGGCTGCCTCATTCTCCACTTCTGAATCAGGAACAGCTGCTCGCTCCATTACCGCACCAGGTACAGCGATCAGACAGGCCATGCACAATGCCCCGTTAGCTGCTTTTATAACTTTAGAGCTGGTTGCTCACGCAACAATTTGTTATTTCAGCAAGAAAGGCCACTTGTACTGGAGTTGCTGTAAGCTATACGACACAACTTAGGCTTATTAACGTATGTCACGGATGCCGTGTTAGTGCCCTGCTAAGAAAAGCTATCTTCAAGCACAGCTTGCTAGGCAGAGCCCTGTACAAGCTTAAACTTGTTCGTCTTCCAAAAGAAAATGAAGGTTGAAAGCAGCTGGGTGCATCTGTTCACAGCCAGCACCTCGAAATCAATCTTAAGAAAGTCTAGCAGTTTGAAGAGAAGTCCCCTGAAACACCACACCTTAGTCCTGCAAATTAAGAGTACGCACAAGGATTGCTTTGGCCAGGGAGCCTGTCCTTAAGATGAAAAGGCAGGAGAGTGAAGAGCTTATCCATCTCACACAGGCACATCAGCGCTGATTTTTCCAGCGCAACAGTTCGGACACCAGCAGGCAAGCTCATCCCCTAAGCACAGCCTCATTAACGGGACGCAGGACGCAGCCGCGAACAAGGGCGGCAGCTGCCTCGTCCGAGGGCTACGCAAGTCAGCGCTGGGCAGCCACGAGCAATCCCGTTTTTACATCCAGCCAGCACTGAGGCAGGCAGCAATTCAGTCCTGCAAGTCGTGCAAAGGACTTAAAGCCTTGGAAATGCAAGTCCCTGCAAGGTGGCTGCAGGTTGCAGTCTGGCTACGAAACAACTATTGAAGGTTTTAAGCTCCCTGGCACCTAGAGGGGCAGCACGGCTCCCTGCTGTACTTCCATGGCAACGACAGCTTTCCCCTGCCTAGCTCGTAGCTGCTGAAAGCCCTGCAGCGCTTTGTGCCGCGACTGCAAAGAGGGGAGAAGCGTCCCCACCCACAGCAGCCACTGGGATGGCAGCGAGCAGCCTCTGAACAAAAGCGGAGTCTTCGTGCATGAGATGGGATACTGGGAGGAGGGAGAGAGCGGGAAGGACTCCCTTTTCTGGTGGGAAACAGGAATTCCCCAGCCTATGAAAGTACACGCTCACTTCCTAGTACTTAAGGAATCAACGCGCGACGTGTCTTTCACGGCTTTACCAGAATCGGCAGCTTTGGTTTGGGTAACCTTTTGTGATGCGACAACACACTGAGGAAAAACACGCGTCGTTAAGAGATGAGAAATTCGAGCACTGCTTCCACGCGGAGATCCGTGCACAGACAAGATGGAGGCTGCCCGAGCCGGCTGCCAGGAATCCTCACGTTGTGCCCACAGCCGCTGGGAACACGTTGCGAGAGACTCACCACAGAGCAAAACCTCAAAACTCAGGCAGGTCTCATGTTAGCCAGCTGAGCGAAAGCTGATTCTTCCCCATCGCAAGCTCAGACTGCAAATACGTGGGAGAATGCATTTGCAGGGTGGGTGGCTTGGGCAACCTTTCTCCTTGGCTAATTAAGCTTCCCCTCCATCCAGCAGCAGTTAGTGACATTCAGATGCAAGGTCTAGCCACCTACGAGTCAAACTTCACACAACACAGCTGGAGCCACAATGGCACTGACAGATGGTGCAGGCTCATCTGCATGCTCTTCATGCATCCACTCAGCCACTGAAGGAGGCAACAGCAACCGGTAGCTCTGCCCATTGCAGAGGTTACAACTAGCCACGTTTTAGTACCTGCAAGGCGCAACGTGTAAGCGGCAAGCTGGGTGTGCCTAAAGCTCTTTTGTTGGGCCCAATCCCCACACACAGCCAAAAATAAAGGCTTCTGGCTGGTTTCCATCACATACTTTACATCCATTCCCGATCCAAATGCGTCTCAACCTCTCTGCCAGATTTAACAGAAAGCCAGAGAGCATCAACATGAACTCCAGAAGCAAGACAGAGGATCCAGGTAATGGAGCACTGATATACAACAGGACTACCATCTGGCCCTCCTCTCCCATCCTTTTACTCTGGAGGTTGAGAGGAACACTTTGACCTACCCCTTTTCATTCTTTCCCCTCACTTTCAGTTCAGCTGTGCAAGTACAGTCCTTCAAACCAGAGAAGAACTCCTTCCAGGATCATTCATCACTACCACAAGGGCTGCCAGAGGCACTGCTAGGAAAGCCAATGCATCCTTTCCAACCTCTGTGCTAATCTAGCCCTTTCCTCCCTATGGGCAATAGCTTCCTGCAAGCAAGAACATTAACTGAAATTCTTCATTCTGGAAAGAAACAAGGTAGCAGGAACATGAAAGACCACTGCAGTTGCTAATATGAGACACTAACACATCCTGCTAGCTCAGCTTGTCATCCTGGACTTCAAATCCAAAAGACTTTTAGATTTCTAAGAGCCCTAAGCTACTCAGCAGACTTTCAGCTCATGAATCAACACAAGCTGTCCAGGAAACCAGAAGTTCAGCTCACTGGAATACTGCAGCCCCAGGAAGCGAGAACAAACAGGGTCCTAGGAAGGAAATAAACAACAGACCAGAGGGAAGAACACTTGCAGGACTGACCCTCTTGCCACATTTACTGTGCCACACTACACATCAAAAAAATGCTTCATATTTTTACACATTGAAACATTCATGTTGCTTAAGCCTAAATTCTGTTCTACGGTGCTGACACTTTGGGAACAGCTTGGTTTTTGCTAAACGGAGTAAGGAAAAAAGAACTATTTAAACCTGAATCAACAGTGCCACCTAATGGCAGTCCAATCTCTTTGCTCATGAAACGTGGATAATCCAGAATTGAGAGGGTTCTTTCCCAAATGCTAGAGGGTAATGTTAGCAAAACACATAGAGATTAAAAATGGAATTGTACATCTTCCACAAATGGCTTTTCTTCCCCAGTATATTCAATTCTCCTAACAGACTATGAAGTTCACTACTGGCAACTTCAATTTCTCCAGACAACAAAATTTGACTTCTTATCCAAAGTCTATTACTTCTCCAATACAGGCAAACAGAGGTATGACTTCAAAATGAGAACCCAAAGCTTTGGCAGCTACAAGCATATGGTCTACACATTCAAAAGGAATTTCTGATTAGCAGAAATCTCTGCTGGGGGATAGGCAGCCCTGAACATTGCATGAGAATTCGTTGTTGTGGCTAAAGTTACACAAGATGCCCCACAGCACTAGTGCTAAAGCACTGATACTATGTCAGCCCCAACTCACTGGCACCAGATGTAAGCAGGGTTTAACATACATTCAGGAGACTGCGAAACACGTTTCTGTACCATCTCTTCCATGGAAAAACAAACATGTAGAAGTAGCAGCAGTAAGTTTCCCCATTCTGCCCAGCCATTGGACCTGACGATTCTTCTGTTGTGGCTATTAGCAAACTTGAGAAGTGCAAAGAACTACTGCCCTTCGAAGGGGTGCATTTAAGTGAGCTCTTCAAACAAGTTTTCTTCACTACCAGTTGAATCTGTATTCAAATGGTAGCATAAGAGAAAAACGCAATATGCCAAATTCCGCTAAGGACAGCAGATGAGGTTTTTTCCAGCTTGTTCTCCAGAACTCATTAGATAATGGTTTACAATTTGTTTCTGGGCCTTTTAAATACCCTGCTCCTTGTTCACCTAAAGTACTTCTGTACATGCAAAACTGCAGCCTAAGGCACCTAGAGGCTTTTCTTTTTGGCCAATGTCTTCCAAGCCTGCCACATGAAAGGGAGTCACCACGCCTGTATCAGTGCCCTGAAATACATCTGTCTCGCCACACAATTTTACAGACCTTCAGTAGTATCCAGGAAATACTTTGCTGCCCCATGCAGCCACATCAGATGTTCATTCACCTGCTGCTAAGTGCGAGTTGCCCTCCCAGCTCTCCAGCCCAATGCTCCAGAAGAGACCAAATGGCAAGCGTCACCCAATTACCTTTCTGCAGCGGGGATTAGGTCATTGTCCAGTAGAGCTGGGAAGTTACAAAATGGACACCTGCAGCCCAAAATAAGATGCTCTTAATAGGCCAAACACACACAGGGCCAAACAAATCTTTGCTCAAAGTGGATTTAGTCAAATAGCTATAAAGCTCAGCCAAACACCTGCCGCAAGGATTTGCTGACTACTGTCTTTTTGCTCATATTTCTTCAATCACTTCCCTGTTTGCAATCAAAGTATTACATGGTCAAAAGCAGTGCTGAGCATATAATTTAAAGGATCAGCACAGGGCTGGCAAACGACAGGGAAGACGGCCTTACTGAATTTTAATCTGCTCCTAGTCAAAGGAAGGCAGACTGTGCTAAATAAAAACAGTCTGAGGAAAACAGGACTACGGGGCCCCTAAACTAAAGGGCAACTCTCTGAAAGCTACCTGCCCCAAAGTCAGCACGCATTTAGGATTCTGGAGGACAGTTTTCTACAACAGTAGAAAGTACAGGATTTCCTCCAGTTCATCCATTCCGACTCATGTATCCTGCACTGGAGACTCACCTGACGAGCTCATCTGCACAGGCAGCAGCCACCTCCTCCTCAGCTTTCCGCTCATAGTATTTACAGAGGATGTTCTCCGGAAGCACCTTCTCCAGCTCGCTGGTGGGGAATGAACACGTGCAACTCCCTTCCATGCAGCTGAGCTCTGACTACAATTGGAAGGAGAGGAGAAAGCGCAGTTTCAGTATGTTTCTAGTGACAGATACAAGGACACTCAGTAACCAGAACTTTTCCAAATACAATCACCACAGAGCTTTGCTTATGAAGAAGAGAGCTTAAAACAGCAGATGACTGCCAGGCTGCCAGTAGGGGCTTGCTATGGTACGAACAAGGCTAGTTGATCTGCTAGATCAGTCCGCAGACAAACAACGGGCATGAAGATGCTCTTCATAGCTGGGATTAGAGTCCGCTTGCTCCAAAGCCACTATGACCACAAAGCAGCCTGTTGCCACTGCGTGTTCCCCTTCGAAAGCTGGCACTATGCTCATGAACAGCATGTTCTATTCTTGGCAATACACTCACATTAAGTACAGTTGTCAGTTTATATGGTTACAAGAAATACAGATCCTGGAGTACCCCCCCCCCCCCCAAGAATTACCCTAAAGTTTGATCCTCATCTCCTGAGGCAAAGGAGCATGCATAATTAACCTGCTGTGAGGAACTCATTTATGGCTCAGCTAAGTACCATGATAACTGCTAACTACTGCTGCCTTACCATTTAGGCCAACTCTGGTAACCATGTCCTAGTAGCATCAGCATTTCTACATGAGACTGAGAAGGTTAGCAGTCCTGTAGATGAATTGACCCCCAAATTAAGGTGGGATCACAAGGAATTCTATAAAGAACAATCCCTTAGCTAGGAAGGGAATGGCCAAATCAGAGATAAGCACAGGTTCTCTGTGCAGACACCATTGGTTTATTAATTAGTAAATCACAACCAAATAAGTGCAAGTTGTTATACGAATACTGAAAAGCTTTCCTAATAATCCATTAGGAGTTGCTAAGCATGGAGCAAGTCAGAGGTCAGCAAGAGACAAGTCCTATTCAGCAAAGATCCTATTGTGAAGCTCTGGGCTGTTCATTTGATCGTAAGACCAACTTGTCAGATTTGGATTTCAGGACTCCGTTCCATTCAAATACTTCCTGGGAAGTGCCGTTACATCTGGTTTAAGCAACAACACTCTGCCAACAGCAATAAGATCTTCCAACAGCAATCTACCCATTTCCCCATGTCCAGGCAGGAAATCCTTACCTTCCCAGAGCCAAAGACTGCCTCCTGAGCATATTTAATTAGGCACTCCTTGCAGAACAAGTGACCATCTGCACACTGTGTTAGCTCTTCAAATGCAAACTCCCCATAACAGCAGCGGCACTCTATCATCTGGCCGTCCTGCAGCCATGAGCAGAGGTATTAACAGCAGTCAAAAAAACCAATAGCTACAGCAACATACCAACAAACACTGCTAGAAATAAGAATGCAGTGACATGGGCACATACAACTGCAATCCATACCAAAAAAATCAGCATTAATCATATGAAAAACACAAGTAAGCTACAGATATACATTATTCTATTAAACATCCTCTTTGAGGGTTGAAACTTACCATGAGAAAGCAAACTCAGAAACTCATTTTAAAGTAACTTAGCATCTACATGTCCTCCATGATGAATCCCCCCCCAAAAAACTATAGAACACATGGTGTTTGACTAATTCTTAGTTCACAGGCAGAGAACCATCTTGGGTTAGGGAAGCTGCGCTTGCAAGGAAGCAGCGGAGAATATGCACAGTTCACATAGGAAAAAACCAAGATTCAAATCTGTTGCTCTTTAAAAGATTTACCCATTTGCCTGGAGACACCCTGCCTTGGCTTTCTCACCGCAGAGGTGGAGAAGCTTGCCACTGGTAAGAGTAAGTATGCCCACTTCTTCACAGGTCCAACATCTCCAAAGTTGGAAGAAAAATAGGCATCGAGAAAGAGAAAGGTAATCCACAGCTGCTGAACTCATCTCTTTCTCTCTTCATTTAAAATGAAGGGCTTAATTTTTGTTTTTTTTTTTAAAAACAGAGTCCTTTCTGCAAATGAGAAAGGTCTTTCCATTGGCAGACCTCCAAGAATAGCAAATTTGTTTTAAACAGCCATAACGTAGATAGCAAGAGCAAAACTGGTACGATTCTACTGCAATGTTTGTTCTGGCCAGTAAAAACACAAGCAGCAGCTGACTGAACTACTACAGATCATTACACACATCAATACTGTCCTGCTGGACTCAGCTCTTGTCTACCTTTTCTAAAAGCCAGCCAACACATACTATGTAGGTTCTGCCAGCTCAGCAAATGCAGCACAGTGTAAATGCAGTCCTTCAGAAAACAAACTCTATTCCAGAAGAGAGAGAACTCTGCAAAGTAGTAAGTGCAATATAGTCTCTATACACAAACTGAACTCCAGGAACCATATCACCGATACTGACCTTCTGATACTGCTCCTCGTTCATCTGCAGAGCAAGGAGAAAGTCCGCATGCTGTAAGAGAGACACGTGCATTTGTATTTGTAGAATGGATAAACCTGTTTTCCAGCCCCTAAACACTTTTACATTATCTCAAGACTTAACAAACCACCATAGAAGGCACACTGTCTGCCTACAACACCATTCAATCCATCCTTCCAATCCATTGAACTATTTATGATTCAGCTAAAATGGACTGGAGAAGCAAAGGCAGCAAGAGCAAAGAACCAAGTTCGGAATTATGGAGGGCCACTAGCTCATGCTTCTATGGGCAGGCAAGATCACACTCAATAGGTCTCTCCAGAGAAAGCCAAGAAAAATGAGCTTTCCGTTTAAAAGGAGACACTACCATCTGCCTAAGAGACACTGATCTTTAAGAAGCTACTTCAGAAAGGACTGCAGCTGCAGAGCTGTGCATTCTGTCTTTCATTAGATTACGAGGGGAAGACAACACACCAGCAAGCGTTGCAAGGTTCTGCTCTGAAACGCGTGCCCCTCAACATGGGACGTTCTTGAGATAGGACTGCCAAGTTTCAGAAGAGTGAGCGGATAGCCTGCCTTGAGCCTAGTTGCTGTTAACCACCAACACTGAGCTGTAATTACAAGCCCAAAAGCAGAAGAGGAAGCCACTACTTAGAGGAAAGAATTTATTAATACAGCTTTTACTGTTTCAGTAAAAAAGAGTCCAAAAAGGTGTTTTATCATGGACTACATATCAACATTAGCAGATATATGGAAGCTTTTCAGTAGCAAAAGTGCAACTACATATTTAGGCGAATAAGAAATTCCTTGCTTGACTTTCCCCCCCACCCCCAAGTAACTCATTTCTAAAATTCATAAGTGTTAACAGTTAAAGGGGCAAAAGCCATCAGTTGTCCAATATTTTGTTCAGCATTTGACTTCCAAAAGAGAGAGATTTCCACGCTTAAGGCCAAGACCTCTACAGCAGCTGAAATCATTGCCCCACAAGATCAAAGCAGCTCCTACCACTCTCACCTCTGCCATCTCTTTAACTTTCTGCTCATAGAATTCCTGTTCTAGTAGCACCGGTGGGAGAAGTGAGAGCCGGTCATAGGACCTCCAGTGCCGTCTCTTATTCTCCAGGAAGAACATCCGCTTCTCAATTTTCACATCACCTAAATCAGGGTTAAAGGTACAATGAAACGGGATGGCCAGCAAGAGCAAAGCTTAAACCTTTCCTCCTCTACACGCTACCAGCCGCATAACTTCAGTATCTCAAACAGCACTGAACCAAGCAGATGCACTCGTGAAGAATATCTTCAAAACAGATACTAGACAATGACAGAGACATAGATGGGGACCACAGCCCTTTCCAACAACAGCACTTTCTGCTGCAAGGCAGCTCTGCTTACAGTATCCATGCAGAGAGCACCACATACCCCCCCCTGGTATTTACCTTGCTCAAATTTGAAATCTATATATGAAAACTGATTCATTTCTTTCCTCCTTTTTCTTTTCCCACTGGTTTCTGGAGAGAGCTCCTGCCATTTCTTGATGGCATCAGAAAAGGCCTAGAAAACAACACACAGGCATAAATCCTTTCTGCCCTCTGGAAGAAAGCAGAGGCAAACACTTCAAATTAAAGCACTGCATGAACAACTTGTACCTAAGATCGATTTAAAAACAGGAAAGCTAAACACCCCATAAAGGCAAGTCTACCTCTCTACCCTTTATCCATCTTGTTGCTTTATGAATTTATAACAATCATTTCATAAAAATGAAAGAGCCACCTGTTGATCAGGCAGAGTTGAATGATGCTCTGCAACACATCAGTTTATCTCTAATACAACTGGTGCCCATTTTGATGCAACAGAGCTCAATTTTCTTGAAGCTTCTTCTCCGAAGGTTTAGAGCAAGAATCTGCTTTTGCTCAATTCCGCTACTTAACACTTGATCAATCAATGAAGGGGTTATTTTTTGTGTTTTTCAGTTAAGCCAAGGAGAGAAGCTCAAGCAAGAGAAACACATCAAAAGAGCAGCTCCAGGTCAAAAACCTGAGACCACATTCGCATTTAGTTGATACTTGAGAATAAGTTTCTTTGCAGCTCCATTACAGTGACATTCTTTTACAAGGAATATATGTTTCGTTTTGGAGGTCTTAAGAGGAACCCGAGTCTCTCACTGGCCGCCTCCTCCTCATTCTTCAATTGTGTAGTCAGGAAGAAACCAATAACAGCAGTTAAGCGTGTTAAGACTTCACTAGTCTAGGCTTTACTGGCGATTACGCCCTACTTCAGCAGCAAAGTACAGGAACATTTCTCAGTTCAATGCAACATCCACCATCAATAGCTAGCATCTCTTAACTTTCCTAGGACAGCAAAGTGCAACAACTTTCTGCAGCTGAGAAATTTTGCAAGTCTCTCAACTAAATGAACATCAAATACTTTTTGAAAGGAAAGGCAGATTATAAAAATACAACCACACGCAAACAGATAGGGCAGTAAGGCAAGAGACATCGCGCTGTTCTCCTCCACGGACAAGGGGATGTGACTCCAGTTAAGAAAAAAAAAAGATTTGAACTGAAAAACCTTTCGCGTAATTGCATAGTGTCCTTTGAGTTCATGTAGTGCCCACTTAATGTCCTGGCTGCTCAGCATTTTGAAGTCTGCCATGAGGAGGTCAGCTGCTTGAATAAAGCACCGCTGATCAAGTGGGGCAAGTTTGGAAAAATCAAAGTAGTCCACTTTAGGCACCTGAGGAGAAAATGCAAGAGGCAAGAGAGGATATAAAAAGGCTTTTACAGACACACAAAAACACCCCAAACAACCCATCTTTCAGTAGTCAGGAACTTCTGCCAGACCACACAACGCAAGCTACATGGCACCTTGTTCTGAGTACAAACCTAAGCACCAGCTTAGAGCACAGCATGGCGTATGAAGCTTACTGTGGTGTACTTGCACAGGTAACCTGCCCCGAGCTGCACCACACTGCAGCTCTGCTCCTAGCAGGATTGAAGCCAACTAGCTTAAAGCCATTTGTGTGTGGCTACACAAATATATCTTCTTCTCACTGTCTCGTGTTACTGTAAAGGGTGAACAGCTTCACTGTCTCAAGTCTGAGGGATACTTCCCAGAGGTATTCAGCATCTCCATCTCTCAAGTCACATACAGCCATTTTAATTTACTCGAAGAAAGCATCTCAGGGAGAAAAATCTTTGTCAAAGGGACTGTCAGGAAAAAAAAATAAACAAGACAAGAAACTAAGGAAATTCTCAGTTAGGAGGCTAAAAAGCAATGCCTAAAACGCCACACAAAAGAGACTCACTGTCCAAGTCTACTTCATGCAACAGAAGGACCAAAGAATTTAGATCAGTGACCAAAATGAACACTCCACGTGGGAGGTAGCCAACAGGCAGGCAAGACAGAGGGACTGGCTCAAGGGAAACGAGCAGACAAGGTGCAGCTATACAGTAGCAAAACATGAGTCTTGAGGTCATCTTACAAGCAACTAACTATTGTTATTTAACACTAACTTAAAAGCACCCAGAGGCCTCCTCCAAAAGCCCGGCTCAGCAGGGCACTCCACAAATGCACACTCATAGAACAACACATCCCAAGATCAGCTCAGGTTGAACATGCTTAATGGGAGACAGACTATAGATGAGGCTATTCTCACTTGCCTTTGTCTCATCTTGGCTGGCAAGCAGGCTGCTGCTGGGATTTAAAACCACTCTGCCTTCCTTCTTTGGGTAATCTGGATTTTCCAGGAGAAAGTTACAAAGTCTGAAAAGATAAATATAGTTACTTGAGGGTTTGGGAGCTCAGGTTCATTCCTCACTTTTCAGGTTTTTAGTATCCTATAACTAAGAGGCTGGGCAGGCAAGTTATAGCCTGTCCTATAAGAACTAAGAGCAGTCTCAGGCTAGAGCAAACTGAAGTGAAATGACTTAGAATTAAGTAAAGAATGATCTGCTGTATGACTGCAAAAGGAAAAGCATATAGATCTGCCTTTCAACAGTTGCATTTATATAAGAGAAGTTTGTATGGGTGAGCTACTACTATCCCGTGCCAGTGGGGAAACAGGTCCACTTCCCCACTCTTACTACGATGGGTAACCAATGTAAAGTAACATCTCCCTTGAGCACAAGTCAAATCTTGCATGACTTTAAGAGTCAAGGTGTACTAACTTTCTGCTACTCTGGAATTAACATTATGAAGACATACAAGAAAGAACAGTCACAGCCTAGCAGCATAAACTCAAACACAGCTGACCTCTGTGGCAGCTAGTGTAAATGCACCTTTGGAAGAATAAGCTTAAAACCTCCCACAAAACCTGTCAAAGGCTGATGGCTTGCTGGATAGATTACAGATTCAAATTTTAATTAAGTTCCAGTCTTTATCGACTTTCACATTAAAGCTGAGATGAAAACATGTTTAAATTGGGCTTACAAGAAGGCGTGTACTCTAAACACAGGTTTATTGCAATAAGGCTTGAAATCAGACAGGCGTTATCCAGCTCACACTAGAAACTACGCTAGCTCAAAGAGCATTTACAAATAATCATTAGGTTGAAAAATTACATACATACTACCCTCTAAACCCAGCACAGCTGAGGTCTGATCACAAGAGGAAAATCATAAACTTTGTCAGTTAGGTTTAACTTAGGGTGCTTCCGCATAGAGGAGATCCTAGCAAGTAGCTTAAGGATGCTTGCCTTGCCAGAGCTCCACAGACACTTTAGAAACCCTTTTGAAGGGGAAAGCCTGCTGTAGGCTATTTGATTCAGACTTTCACAGCTCATTCTCAACTCTGTCACCAACCAGCTGTGCTAGTTGGGTCAAGTCACATAAGCCGTTCCTCGGTTTCCCCAACTGAGGATAATACTCTTCTGAAAGGAGCTATGAGGAGCAATTAACATTTGTAAAACTTTTTGAATGAAAAGGTGCTAGATGAAGCAAAGACATAATTGCTGCTAATTTACATTCCTGATGTCAGAAATCAGTCCTTAATTAAGAAATCTGAACTGCCTTGAAGCATTAACCCACTATCACAGCACAATTACTTTAGCCCTGCTTTTACATTCAAAGCAGAGGCATTTCTTTTTGTTTAATCAGGTATTGACATACTGAGCCAGAAGCTTTTGATTGAACGTGAATGCTTCTGCACACAAAAGCTGAATAGATGATACCCTGCTAAGAGGAGTTCTCACATCTTCTCTTCCACATCAGTGGAAAGTTTTAAGACAATCATTTTGGAAACAACACAATATCTTGGCACTGAGCATCTAATAGCATCCAGCCTTCCCTCCACCCCTCCTTTTTGTAAAGGGTAACTGTTCTAATCTAGCAAAACCAGAACTTCAAGGACCTCAAATCCCTGTAGCTCAAACATAAGGACTTCAGCTGCGTCACAGTCAGAATACATTTGAACTATTCTGCAAGTTGCCATTTCAATGCTCAGGGATTTTCAGAGATGTTAACCTTCAATATGTCTGACAATTAGTTAAGTGCATCCCCCAGTGTGCAGTGCACACATGCTTGCAGCACTGCTCATTAATATCTGCACCATAGGACATAGCCAGTTAAAAGCCTCATCCCTGTTCAAACCCAGCCACCCTTATTTATTATACTTCAAGCCTGATTCAGCTTGACATACCACGGACATCAGAGAGATCCTGCCAGCTAGGCTGACTAGTGCTTTGACCCATTTGCTCCAAAACAAAAGATGCAGCAACAACTCAAAAGATAGTTTGGTTAAAGAAATAAAAATATGGGGAAGAAACCTCTATCACCCAGTTAAGTGGGTAATGCACCACTGAGCAGACACTGTAGATGGCCCACAGAGAAGCCTGTAAGCGCCTTTGCATCTCACTGGTTCTGCAGCGCACAATAGAAAGGACAGATTTCAGGAGCAAAAAGAGAAGGAACACATTAAGACTGATAGAGGCCGATACCGGGATTTAATTCTATCAGACTTTGCTGGATCCCTGCAGGATACACTAATGAGTTTTTCCACACCATCTGTGTGAGGATCCTGCAGCTAGATGCCCAGCTTCAATGGCCTGATCACCCTGAGGAACAGTCTACGGCCTTAGCAGCCTTCTGCAATCCGCTCTTAGGTGGATCAAGTACACAGCGCAGGCATCCAAAAGCTTCTCACGTTAAACAGGTCACCACTGCAGGGAATGTACTTTCCGAAGTGAAGAAAAAAATTAGTCTTACAGATTTCTAACCAACAAGTCCTGCTCTGAAGACAAGACTTTTACAACATGGACAAAGGCAGCAAATTGGAAAGCAAGGCCCAATGGATGGGCTCATCCTTAGTTCCCTGCCAGTTAACTTATTTATGGTCCAATAAATAACTAAGCCTCACACGCGTCAATGTTGCTTAATTAGTGCCCTAGTTCCCTGCAAAGGGCACCAGATTCATACAAGTTGGAGTGAATATTCTAGTAACCAATCCCTGTTCTTCATTCTCATGTCATATAACTAGTTTCAACACGTTTCAGATAGCAACAGCTGCAGAAAGAGACCACCTAATATCAGACAAGTCAGAAGTAATTTACTTCAGACAACTCCCTCCCCAGCATTTGCTGGTGCCAACACACACAATCTTTCACTCTTTGAATGTGCAAGCTTTATCTAAAGGGGCAGGAAGAAGACAGAAAAGTTAACAGGTTATTTTTGATTCTAACACAATTCACAAGCATATCAAATATGACTGCTAACACCGGGGGCTTCTCAAGGTGCTAGCACAATTGGGAAGGTGACAGTTCCCAGACTTTTCTGCTGCTTATTTCCCTTCTCAGTCCACATTTCTGCTCAATTTGATCAAAACGAGTCCATCAGCAGCTATCTAGGATCAATCCTCTTGAAACATGTTCGCTCTATTCTATCTGCAAAAAGTGACTTGAGAGAAGTCACCAGTACCACTATCACTTGATTAAGCAAAGGGGATGGAAAAATCAGCATCATGCCATCAAATGATGGAGTCCAGGACGGGGTCAGCTTTGCCTGGAAAGAGCCAAAAGCCATATGAAATGAAGAGGCAGGGAGCGATTTTCCCCAATTCAGAACTCATCAACCCACCTTTGAACTAAGGCTTTATAAAGGTCATGTCAATATCTTATCCTATAGAAACTAGCAATAGTTAAGGGGAAATGATACATGACATTCTTAAAGAACCAAGTAACCAGCAACAGAGCACTTACAAATTACTTTAACAAAAGCAGAGAAACGGAAGTGTGATGTCAGAATTACAAAGCCAAAGAACTAAGTGTTGCCTTAGGAAGAGGTTCATGGGGGGAGGCGGGGGACACACTGTCCTCTTCAGCACTACCAAGGTAGCACCGACTCCTACCCTTCATACGCTGTGAAACAGCATCATTGGCTAGAGCAGCAGTGGAAGTGTGACAGTAGCCAGACCGCTGCATGACATACTCTGGCCCTCAGCTCTGTACTTACACATTTAAGTCATAGCAGTTCTTCAGGCTGATTAGCTCTTCAATATATTCCTTCTTCACATCTGGAAATCTTGCTTCCTACAGTAGGAAAAGCTAAAGGTTATGTAGGTATTAGAAGAACTATGCAGCACAACCTAGCAACAGCACCAGAGACAGAGGTTTATAATTATCTAGAATGCCCCTGAGACTGGGGCCAGGATGGGTTCCAAGTGACCATGTATTTCCAGCCACCCCAGATACTGCAATCCGCTGGCTTTTCTTTCCTCCAGAATGACTACTAACAGCTTTCTCAGAGGAATATGGATAGTGATGTGAGGGGCCATGAGCAGCTGGCTTGACAAATGATTCAGCGTGGACAGAAACCGGAGACACACAGGCATCATCTGCAACACAAGCAGAGCTAATATTTACCTTCAGAGGACTAAGGGTTTCAGATTGTCTGCTGAAAGACAACATTCCAAAGCAGAAAAAAAAAAATACACGTACCCATTCAAAGCAACCAGACATACTGGTGATGAGACCAGACAGAAAAAAAACAAACCTTTACTGGCATTTCTGTAAAAGTCCTCCCAGCACTGGCCACATGGAAAGAGCAAAGGGATGCCCTCTGCCCCCTGGGTTTCTGCACAGGTATTGCAGTTGACTGCACCATACGGTATTTTGCTTTGCAAGACTGAACTACTTAGGGTTGTCAAGTAACTCTGATAACACAAGAGTATTACTTGTCCATCTTACCAGAGCTGGTCACCGATCAGCAAGGTCTTACTCAAAGAGTGGAATTTTGTTGGGCTACCACTTTGAGAATAAGAACAAAAGTACTTTCTCAGCCTTAATTTTCACAAATAGAATGGGACAGGGAGGGATGACCTTAGCGGATAATTAAGATACAGATCTTCACACTTGTTTAGGGAAAGTCGTTCCTTAAGGCATCAAAAGACCTTTCCTCTCTAGGAGGACTAGGGCACTGGAGGAGAGGGGAGAACAGACAT